CCTCCGCCCAGACTCGCCTCCCCCCAACCCTGCACAGCCAAGACGTGGCCCTGCCCCCCTTCCTCCCAAACACACATGCGTACACACATGCACGCACACGCCTGCCACTCGTTCTGCTCCTCCCACTTCCCTTGGCCCACGCCACTCCCAACCTGGCTTCCTCCACCCCGGCCTTAATCACCCACTAGTAACCTACTACCAACCTCCACCCCAAAGATGTATTCACCCAGAGTCCTGTGATTTTTCACTTTTTAACTTCGCACCTGCGCTCTCCTTCCAAAATTTTTCAGTGTTAAGTATATATAATTTTGTGATAAGCCAAAGAGAAAACTCTCTTCTCTTTCTCTCTGTCTCTCTCTCTCTCTCTCTCTCTCTCTCTCTCTCTCTGTCTCTCTCGTCAGGGTCTCACTCTGTCACCCAGGTTGGAGTGCAGTGGCATGATCGCAGCTCACTGCAGCCCTTGAACTCCCAGGTTCAAGCAGTGCTCCAGCCTCAGCCTCCCAAGGAGCTGGGACTACAGGCATGCCTCACCCTGCCCAGCTAATATCTTTAATTGCTTATTGTAGAGATAGACTCTCACCACTTTGGCCACGTGGGTCTTAAACTCCCCGCCTCTAGTGAGCCCATCAAAGTGGAGGGTCTGGGCCTTCCAAAGTGCCAGAATTACAGGCTAAAGTCACCGTGCCTGGCCTGGATAGATTTCTAAAAGCTCTTCCAGGGACACTAATATGCTGCCAATCCCGAGAGGCCCTGGGGCAGGTGATTATAATTTAGCAAAAGATGGCTCCAGAGCCGGATCCTTCATCCTCTCCCAGCCCTGCGACCTCTGAGTCTGAGTTCCTCCAGGCCTGGTGGCTCAAGCAGGACACCGGGGGGGCTTGGAGTTTCATGGCTGTCCCTGAGCGTCCGGGAGGATCACTCAAGCTTGGGAAGCCTAGGCCACAGTGATCTATGATGGCACCACTGCACTCCAGCCTGAGGGCAGAGGGAGACACTGACTCTAAAAGAAACTTCTCTTCAAGTATACAGAAAACATGTCCCATCTCCAAAGATCCTGACTTGTCTGGTCTAGCACTTTTTCATAAAGCCCCAGGTGACTCTCACATGAGGCCGGGGATGAGAACCCCTGACCTAGTCCCATTCCTTCTCTTCAGGCCCAAGCTCCGGTCCAGGGGGAGGAAGCAGTTCCCTCCCCGCTGGAGGGGGCAGCCCCTTCCCAAGTGGGCGCTGGCTGAAGAAATGCAGCACCAGGGAGCTTGCTGGCACGTCCAGGCCTGCTGCTGGCACCCTGCGGCCTCACCCTCACGTACCTGGAAGGTGTCCTTGGACGCCCTCTCGAACACCTTGGAGCGGCTGGAGAGGAAGAGCACTTCCGTCTTGCCGAGCTCACCGTAGATCTGCACGAAGACTCGGGCGGTGGTGCCTGCGCCGCCCACATCCCCTGTCCAGACCTCCACCTCGTAGTGGACCACTAGGTGGGCACGTGCAGGAGAGATGGAGCAGTTAGCAACGACGGCAGCGACAATGACGGCAACAGAACAGACGTTTTCATTCTGCGCCACGTGCCTAGGACCTCACAGGCACCATCTCACCTCAACTTCTCTCCACACCGTGGCCACCTACCACCATTCCCATGTTGCAAGTGGACAAACTGAGGCTCAGAGGAATTGAGCAGGTGGAAATGGCAAACCCAAGCAGTCAGACTCGGATGCCCCAGAGTCCACTTCCCCACAGGTGTTCTTGGATTCCTGGAGTGAGGAGTCAACACACCGGCTGGCGCTCCCTGCTGTGTGCACCCCGGCTTGGGCTGGAATGCTTGTCGCCTCCGAGACGCATGCTGCAGTTTCATCCCAGTCCCAACAGTATGGAGAAGTGGTGCCTTTAAGAGGCGATCAGACCTTGAGGGCTCCACCCTCATGGGTGGAATTGGTACAACGGAAAACCAGACACTACATGTTCTCACTTACAAGTGGGAGCCAGAGGATCTGCAAAGGCACAGGGGATGGTGCAGTGGACACTGGAGACTCGGGAGGTGGAGGGATGACGGACCTCCTCCCGGGTCGTGTGTGCACAGGTGGGAGTGGCGTGGCCACTTAAAGCCCAGACTTCTTTGCCAAGTGCAATGTATCCTGTGACTCAAAACTATTCATACCCCTAAAGCTATATAGATAAAGAAAAAATAGATAAGGGCGGAGTTCAGCTCCTGTGTGTCCTCTCTGCCCTCATGCCCGCTGCATGTTTTAACACAGTAAGAACGCCCTTGCCAGATGCTCACACCCCGATGCTGGACTACTCAGCCTCCAGAACGTGAGCCAGGACATTTCTGTTCGTTACAAATTACCCAGTCTGTGAAATTCTGTGATCACAGCACAAAATGGACCAAGACACCCCCTCTGGGTAGCCAGCACGGGACAGAAGAAAGCAAAGACTGTGTTGTTTCCATTCCTTATTTTCAGCAATGAATAAGGAGTTGAAATCATATGAGAGGGACTCAAAAAACCCTGGAATTTATTTATAAAAAGTTGTGTATTTATTCTTACATGTTTAAGGCCAGATCCTTTCAAAGTACTCTCCGTTGGATGGAATGTACCTATCAAGATGCTTTTTCTACTGCTCAAGACAGTTTTTGAACTGGCCCCTTTTGATGCCTTTTAGAGTTTCTGCCCTTTTTTGTTTCACCTCTTCCACAGTGGCTAAATGTTTCCCTCTGAGGGCTTTTTCATCCAGGGAAACGAAAAAAGCTGCTCAGGCAAGATCAGGTGAATAGGGAGGGTGGGGTACGGGGGTGGGGGGGTCATGCCATCTTTAGTCAGAAACTGCAGCACACTCGGTGTGGTGTGAGTGGTGCGATGAGGCCTCTCTCCGCAAAGCTGGCAGGTCCTCTGATAACGGTGGGCTCTCAGGACTCTTCCTTAGCTGTTCTCCAAGGGGCCCCTCCCTCCAAAGGATCATTTCGGGTTTTGTGGGGGATCTCCCTCATAGTAGTTATTTAAATATGGGCACCTTTCAGATGATCCAAACAGATACATCACACTAAGAGAGCTGTCTGTCTTCTGAAGTGATACTTAATCAAGATATTAGAGGGTAAAATGCGGCTCACATACACACCAATAGAAAGCGCTTCATGACAGAGCACAGAACATCTTCCTGAAGAACTATGACATCACATTCTTTCCATTACAAGACTTGCCTTCTCAGCGATGCTGTAAGACTAAGACAGGACTTTCAATACTTTCAGCCAGATGCTCTTCCATGACCATGGCAATGTGAGAAACTCAGGGCCGAAAATAAGAGGCCAGGCGGAGAGACGGAAGAGGTTGGACTGGAGATTGGAGGCTCAACAGAGAGAGGGTAGGATGGGGCCTGGACCCCAGAAGGACTCAGTGATGCGGCATTCTGAATGGAGAGGAGCCTCTACCCCTTGCCTCCCTTCGCTCTCAGAACAGATAGTCAGGACGATGCAAAGGCGTGAAGAATGAGCATTCAGGGAACCAGTTATTGGAAATTAAAATCTTGAGGCCTGTGGCCAGGCACAGTGACACACCTGTCATCCTAGCACTTTGGAAGGCAGAGACAAGAGATTGCCTGAGCCCGGGGGTTCAAGATCAGCCTGAGCAACTTGGCGAGGCCTCATCTCTATAATAAATAAAGCAAAGCCGAGCTCGGTGGCTCAGCCTGTAATCCCACACCTTTGGGAGGCTGAGGTGAGTGGATTGCCTGAGCCCGCGGGTTTGAGACCCACCTGGGCAGGTGAGACCTCATCTCCACAATAAATCAAAAAATTAGCCAGGCGTGGTAGTGCGAACCTGCAATTGCGGCTACTTGGAAGGCTGAGGTGGAAGGATCCCCGGAACCCAGCAGGTCTGGCCAGGAGCGGCCACTGCACTCCAATCTGGGCAACAGAGTGAGACTCCAACTCAAAAAATAATAATAATAAAATAAAAAATAAATAAATAAAGCATATAGCTGGGCATGGAGGTGTGAGCCTATATTTCCAGCTACTCAGAAGGCTGAGGTTGGAAGGCTCACCTGAGCCCAGCAGGTCGAGGCTGCAGTAGCCATGATCATGCCACTGCACTCCAGCCTGGGCAACAGAGACTCCAACTCAAAAAAAAAAAAAAAGTATATATATGGCAGCCTGGAATATTCAACAGCAAGGATAAAGTCAAGGACATCTCTCAGAAACAAAACAAAAATTCCCCAAGAACAAAAACATATGTGACAGAGAAAAGGTAAGAAAATCAGAATCATCCAATATCCAACAAATTGTTTAGTTCTAAAGAGAACAGAGGTAATAAGGAGTGGAAAATTGTCCTGGAAATAATACCAAAGAAGTCCCAGAGCTAGAAAAATGCTTCTAGACGTAAGAAGCCACAAGTTCCCAGAACAGTGGGTAAAGGTAAAATCCCCAAAGGCAGTGAGAGCTTCCTGCAATTTCAAATTTCAGGGATAAAGACAGGATCCTAGAAGCTTTTAGAGAGAAGACCAAAGAGAAGGTTAGCAGAGTGGTACCAGACTTTTCAGCTGCAACACTGGGAGCTAGAAGACGCTGGAATGGCTCTTTCTAGACTCCAAGGGAGAATGAGCTCTAACTCAGAACTCCACAACAAGCCAGACTTGGAATCAGTTGTGAGAGTCGACTAGGGACACTTGCAGACATGTGAGGTCTCCACATTTATCTTCTGTGTGCCTTTCCTCGGGAAGCTGCTAGTAGAGGGTGTGCTCTACCGAACTGAGGAATAAACAGAAGAAGAGGAAGACATGGGATCCAAGAAGCAGGAAAGCCAACCCAGGAGAAAAGAGAAAGGACCCACCAGGAAACCTCTACAGACCTGCTGACTTTCGTTGACGAAAGAAGTGTGTTCTAATAACTTCTCGATGTTACCTTAAAAGCCCTTCTCCATGTCAAACTCTCCCATTCTCTGAAAGAAAACAGTGTGTGGTACGTTTGAAAGAAGGGTGCGAAAAGACGGCACGAAGAGAGTCCTAAAAGCCCATTAGGGAGCAGCACAGAGGTGCCAACAAGATGTTTAAGGAGCCAGAGGAGGCAGCCACCAGAACTCCCGTGGGTTTGGGGAAAGAACTTAGGACCTACGGGAGATCTGGGATAAGACAGGATTAGGAGTTGAATTGTGTCCCCAGATTTTCACATTGAAGCACTAACCCCCAGGACCACAGAACGTCACCGTATTTGGAGCAGCCTTTAAAGAGGAGATACCTGAGACCCTTAGGTGGGCCCTACTCCAGTCTGACCGGCTTCTTCTAAGGAAAGGAAGTCTGGACTCACAGAGAGACACAGGGTCATCACGCAAGGAGGAGAGGCCCCATGACACACAGGGCAGAGGAGGCCCCCTGTGAGCCAAAGAGAGCTGTGTGGTTACTGCAGTTCCAGTGAACTGAAGCAGAGAGTGATGGCATGGGGAAAACTACACAGCTTGAATGGCGGTAACTCCAGGAAAAAAACCAAGAGGTTGTGCCAAAACGAACACAGTGATCACACGGGAGGTGACTCAGCAGTGAATAATACATAATCACAATGGTGTAAAATTTGAGCACTAACTTAATTATATTGGAGGCTGGAAGGGGGAGGTGTGTGTGTATGGGTGTGCCTGCACACACACACACGTGTGAGGGCCTATACAGTGCCCGTGTGTGTTAAAGAAGCCCAGTCCCCCTCTTCCACAGTAGGAAGTCAGTAGACAATGTCTAAGACTGAAATGTCAAAAAACTAATAGGTGGAAGCCGGGTGTGGTGGCTCACGCCTGTAATCCCAGCACTGCAGGAGACCGAGGAGGGAGCATGCCCGAGCCCAGGAGTTCCAGACCAGCCTAGGTAGCACAGCAAGACTGCATCTCTACAAAAAAATTTTAAAAAACAGTTAGCTGCCAAGCCCGGGGCGTCACTGGCACAGAGAGGGTCCCGTATGCAACCTCTCTTGGTGTTTGTGAAGATAGGCCCAGGACCCCAGAGACCCCACAGTGCTTGGATGCTCGAGTCCCGGAGGCTTTGCGCGCCCTGCTGGCTGCTTTAAGTCATCTCTAGATCACAAAGTACCTAGCATGATGTGCACTGTGTGTGCAGGGTGGTTATCCTGTATTGTTTACAAATATCAACAAGGAGAAAGCTCTGTTTGTGTGAAGTGCAGCTGCGACTCTCTTTGAAATACTTTCGACGTTGGTTGGTGAGTCCATGAATGTGCAGCCCACGGATACAGAGGGCCAACTGTATATTTCTTGGACAGATAACTGACCACACCGTTTTATCTCCTCGGCTAGTCCTCCCAGGGAAGACATGGGCTGTCTCAAATCCTCTCCTCTGGAAGGCTGAGACGGGGCATCCGATAAAGTCGGTTTTAGTGGCCCTTCATCCCAGAAAAAAGTGCTCCCTCCGCTGAGTCCTCAGTTTGCTCATCTGTGACATGAGCCCCTCTTCCCTCCCAGGCCCAGTACTGCCACCTCTCCCCACGGGCCCACCAGCACCCAGGGGGCCCACGGTTCCCGTGCCTCCCGCGCCCATCGCACAGGGGAAGACTCGTACGTTTCTGGATGTCCACGATCTCGCTGGGGTAGAGCTCCGCCTCCAGGCGCCCGTCAGCCCGGTTCTTGTCCAGCCAGCGGTTGGCGGGGAAGGTGTACTGCTTGCCTTGGCGGGGCACGCGCACCTGGACGCTGCCCAGGAACCAGCCCGCGTGCATGCCAGCACCATCGTGCCCAATCACCAGCCGACTGATCTGGAGGAAACCCCAGGAGCTGGGCAGGGAGTGCGGCCAGGAGCCTCGTGCCTTGCCCCTGCAGCCCCAGACACCAGCGCAAACGGCGCCCTCAACTCAGCTGGTCCCGGGAGAGGGAGGCTCCGTCAGGAGGCTGGGCAGGGTCCTGGCCAGTCATCAGCCAGCCGGGGACCAGGGTGCCACCGCTCCCACCCGGAGCACCCCACGCCGTGTACTCCCCTCCACCCTGTGCTCTCCTCTCTACCCTGTGATGTCCCCAACCCATGCCCACCCCAAGTCCAGCACACCCTTCAGGTGGTGGTGAGAAGCACAGGGGAGCGGATGTGGAGTGGACTTTGAAAGCCCACTAGTCCTTCTTTTGCTAAGCTATGGTCTGACCATGTGGCTCCTTGAGCTACGGCTGCTGTCATGTTTCCTAAGTTTTGGCCTCCTCCCCTGCCTTGGGGAGGTGAATCTCCTCTCTCTCTCTCTCTCTCTCTCATTTACTTTCTAAAGAAACTATGCTTTCCAATCTGAAAAAAAGAAAGCCACTTAATCCTTAATCATGGCAGTTGTGGTCACAGGAGAGAATAAATGTTCACAACATTGCCACCACCTTCCGATAGCCTCGTTGTCAATTCCGTTTTGTTTTGTTTAACAATACACTATTTACAGCTGGGCCTGGTGGCTCATGCCTGTCATCCCAGCACTTTGGGAGGCAGAGGAGAGAGGACTGCCTGCGCTCAGGGGTTCAAGACCAGCCTGGGCAACATGCCATGACCTTGTCTCTGTAATAAATCAAAAAATAAAAGTTAGTCAGGTGCACACCTGCAGTTCCAGCTATTGGAAGGCTGAGGCAGAAGGATCGCCTGAGCCCAGCAGGTCAAGGTTGTGGTGGCTGTGAGTGTGCCATTGCACTCCAGCCTCAGTGATAGCGTAAGCCTCGACTCAAAAAAAAAATACACTGCTTATGCATTTCTACATTTCTTCTCTGAGATGCCCTCCCGAGGGCGACAGAACAGGCAGACGCCCTCTTGGGGACTTGGAGTTGTGTTCACTCTCTCCCCTTTTTTGGTCCTGCCCGTTGTCTTCCTCTTTCCAGCAGCCTTCCTAGTTACTCTGCCATTCCACATTTTGGCATCTTTGCCCGCAGGCACCCAGGTGAGCATGTAGATGCCGTATCACCACCCCCTCCCCTGTTTTTGAGTCAGAGTCTCCCTCTGTTGACCAGGCTGGAGTGCAGTGGCACGATCACAGCCCACAGACCTCCCTGGGCTCAAGTGAGTCTTCTCCCTCAGATACTTGAGTAGCTAGAACTTCAGGCACATGCCACCACCCCTGGCTTTTTTTTCTTTCTTTTTTTGTAGAGACAAGGTCTTGCTATGCTACCCAGGCTGGTCTTGAACTCCTGGGCTCAAGAGATCTTCCCATCTCAGCCTCCCAACATGCGGGGACAGGTGTGAGTCACTGCGTCCAGCCTGATTTCACCATCCTTACATGTCCTCGGTTTTCAATGTCTGAACTGCATTAATGTTTTTGGGAGATGCTGTCTACAGGGCAATTTTAACATCAGATGGGACTTTCAGGTGGCCTTTGAGACCCCTTCCAGCCCTGAGACTCCTCCAGTGATGGCTTGGAGAGGGGAAACCACCCATGAGACTCATACAAATGCCCAGATCCAGAAGCTCGCCCGCACACGCCCTGTTCTCACTCCCTTGAGGACCAGGCCTCTCTTGGCCCTAACAACACAACACCATTAATGCCAAGTCCCCAGAAGGAAGCCAGTCAATCTACAAAGACTGGGGCTCTTTGGGTGTGTGGCAACGGCCAGGGAGAGTCTTGCTGGCTCTCTGTGGTGCCAAGACTGCCAAGTACCAGAGGGATCGGCTGACAGAGTGAAGATGGGCAGGGTCTTCTTTCCCATGGGACGCACTAGGGACACCATGCAGCTGACACAGGGCAACCGTCCAGCAGTGCTTCCTGTGCTCGTACTCTGCGCAGTGGGTGCTGTTCACATGCTTAATGTGAATAACAGCCCCTCTAGGATCGCCTGTCATCATGAGAAAACTGAGCCAGAAGAGACGACGTGACTTGTGTGTGACCAGGAAGTGGAAGGGACCACGCGGGTGTGGGCAGCCAGAGCCTGGCTCCAGCCTCCCGGCCCCAAGCAGGCGGGTTCCAGGAGAGACGCCTCCAGCCGCTGCCCACACTTCTCAGATAGCCCGTGTGCCTGCTGGCTGATGCCAGACATTCTTTAATACAGGAACCACATTCTCACGCCATCATTTTTGACTCAGCCTGATATGTAAGCGCATTTCATCAAGGACAACCTCAATTCGCATGCACTGGCCTCGGGGTCTTTGGGCCGACAGGAGGCTGCTCCCAGAGTGGGTCTGGACGGGAGGGGGCTTCCCGACCCTGATCCTGGAGCAGGAAGGGCGGGAAGGGGGCACGTATACAGAGGGCTTGTCCCTGGCAGTCTCCACTAAGCCACACCCGGGAGGGGGGGTCAGGTGGCAACACAGATCCTGCTGAGTCACTTCTGGAATCATCCAGGCTCAAGTGCAGGGTTGATGCCTGTGTTTCCTCAGGGGACATCGGAGAGATTCCGGCCTCAACCCAACTCTCAACAGGCTCCAAGGCCATTCCACACTAGGCCTCACTCTTGGGTCCCGAGACTTGAACGGGACGCGAGCTCAGCTGCTCACAGCTCAAGGCCACCCCCTCAGGCATCCCTCACGCCCTGCAAGCGTCTGCCGGAGAAGACTCAAGGCTGTCAAAAGGAGCTCCTGGGAGTTCCGGCCAGCACCCAAGGACAGCGCATCTGTCTCTGGACCCCTGGGAGGGTGGTGGCCTGATGCCAGCAAGAGCCAGGGCAGGACACTTAGACACAGGACAACTTCCCAGACTCTGCCGAGCCCTACTTGCTCTCCTCGCAGCCCTCCACCCCCCTTTCAAGTGCCCTGCGAGCTCTGCACAGGCTGAGCTCAGGCTGAGCTCAGGCCACTGGAGTCGCCCCACAGTGGTGGGCCCCTCCTGATGAAAGTCTGCCTTTCTACTTCCACGTGACTCTGTTTACCCTTGGCCGAGTGTTCCAGCCCTCACGGCAGGGCCACCTGCAGCCATCAGAAGGGACCCTCGGCCCCGTCTCCTGAGGCAGCATCTCTGGGGCAGGGGGCCCGTGTGCCCTGGACACTCAGACCCACACTCAGGCCTGAACTGGAAGCATCTCTGGCCCTTCTAGTCCTGTCTTTCCTCTTTCCCCTTCCTGCCCCAAGGGTCCCCTCCCCAGCGTCTGTGGCCCGGGTACACAGCCTGGCTATGCAGGCAAACGGAATGCCGAGGTCAAGCCTCTAAAGAGTCACACTCCATTCTCGCAGAGACTCGGGTAGTCTAACCACCGTTCTCACATCTTCAGCTGCAATAGGAGGGCCGGGAAGTGACAGCATTACTCACACCCCAAGCGGACATGCTCTCCTTCCAGATGGGCTTACCCGTGGATGTGTGTGTGGGCACCTGTGGGTGCATGGAGGGGACAGGTGAGGTCACGAGGCCTTGGGACGGGGACTCACCGTGCCGATGTTCAGGGTCTCGAGCGTGAACTCGTCCACTCGGCCGCGTTCGAAGTAGTCCTTGAGGTTGTTGTCGGAGACCAGCAGCACTTGCTTGATGGTGTCGGACCTCTCCCCGTAGAGCTTGATGTAGACACGGGAGTCTGTGCTGGCCCCAGGGACATCTCCGGTCTTCAGGCTGATGTGGTAGCGGAAGTCTGCACGGCCCAGGGAGGAGAGGAAGGGAGGGGGTCAGGGCAGGGGTGGAACGCGGGGAGCAGGGGGCAGTCTACAGTGGGTGGGGCTTGGGTCCCAGGCCCGTGTGGGGGACCTGGCTCAGTCCTGCTCCCCGAGGGGCCCCGTGACCTGCGGGAAGGTGTCCCCGCGTCCTCCCCTCACCCACAGAACCGATACTCCAGCAGGGAGCCTGCTCCAGGGGTCGGGGTGGGCTGGGACAGGACCCTGCACGTTGTAGGCGAGGACCCAGAGACGCAAGTGCCCCAAGGGTCTCCAGCCATCGCTGGGGCTGGGCTTCTGCGAAAGGCGCGGAAAAAGAGCGGCAAGGGCACCTCGGCCTTTCTGGACAGTGCCACAGGCCGGGCCCTTCAACAGGGAAGGCCACGGGCATGGTGTGAGACGGCCTCCATGGAGGAGGCGCCAGCGGGGGGCAAAGCCCTCGTGTGGTCCCAACACCCCTGTTCCTCCTGGGCACCTGTTGGTGTCACTGCTTTATCACCAGGAGGGTCTGCATCGCCAGTGGGCGCGGGGGAGAGCCTGGAGGAACAGACACATCCCAGACTAGCACGAGCCAGAGACCCACTGGCCTCAGGCTGTTTCCAGGTGCGTGTCTTGAGGAAGAAGAGGACACACCGGGAGGAATGGGGGGGGGCGTGCTCACTGCAACCATGGAGTCCTCCCACTGGGAAGGAGGACTTGGAGGAAGTCACCCGGCACACGTGCTCAGGGCCAGCCCTGGGGAAGGCCAGGCCCAGGTCTGGGCTGGATGATCCCCATGAGGGACGTCCAGGAGCGCTGGAGGAAATGGCACCTGAGTTTCTTGCTGACAGGTGTGGCCAGCGCTGAGAAGAAGACCCTCCCTCACACCATCGTCATCTAAACTCCCAAGACTCTGACTTGGGAGGCAGGGGAGTGAGGCCCCAGCGTGTGGCGAGAAGGGCAGTGGCACAAGACAAGGACCCCTGCACCTGGTCCCAGGCCCGTGACCAGCTGCAGACCTGGGGCCCCCGCCACGGCCACTGCCACCTCCCCTCCTCAGGCCCTTCCCAGCCCTTCCCGTCATCCTGAGCCCAGAGACCGGACTCTCCAGGCCACCTCTGCCTCAAGACAGTCAGGTGCAAGAACTCGAGCCCCTGCAGACCTCAGTCACCCAATCTGACACCAGGACAGCATCCAATCTGCCCTGGGCAACCCAGGGCTCAGGGAGACAGGGCTGACCACGGGGCTTGGGGTCGGAGGCTTCTGGGGATGCATTCCTTTAAATGTCGCATCAAGCATATGGTCAGACCAGGGCCCTGAGGAAGCGTCTCCAGGAAGCAGGGCAACAAGGCCCAGGTAGCACTCACTGTCTACCCTCGCCTTCCCATTCCTTCCAAGTGTGCTTTTCCTCCTGGGGCCCGGATGGTAGGGCCCGCACACGGCAGTGTCCGCCGGTGCCGTTCCTGTCACGCTCACTGCCCTGCCTACACGCAGGGACTCACGAGCACAAGGACGCCATGCACGAGTGCAGACAGGACATCTCCAGAGCCTCCCTCAGAGCCGGCCCTCCCGCCTCCCCTCGTCTCCTGTGTGGCGCAGGGAAGGCACCCGTCTCGTCAAGGGCACGCCCAGCACACAGTCTCGGGACAACTCACTCTTCAGCGTCGCGTTGCTGTCGCTGGGGAGCAGCTCTCGGACCAGCTGCCCGTCATCCTTGTCCTTGTCCAGCCACCTGGTGGGCAGGCGGAGGTGAGGTGTGAGCGCGCAGAGCAGGCGGGCCGAGGAGCAAGCCAGTGAAACACTCGTGCCGGGCACCAGGGAGGCCCTGAGCTTTGAGTTTAGCAGAAGAACCCTACTCTTTTTTTTTTTTTTGAGTTGGAGTCTCACTCCGTCACTCAGACTAGAGTGCAGCAGCCACTCCTAGCCACCGCAGCCTCCACCTGCTGGGCTCCGCAATCCTTCCACCTCAGCCTACCAAGTAGCTGGAACTACAGGCACATGCTACCACGCCCGGCTAATTTTTGATTTATTGTAGAGATGAGGTCTCGCCAAATTGCCCAGGCGGGACTTGAACCCGCGGGCTCAGGCAATCCACTCACTTTGGCCTTCCAAAGTGCGGGATTATGGGCTGAGCCACCAAGCCCAGCCAAGAACCCTACTCTTAACAAAGAACCCCAACCCAGACTGGGAAAGGAAAATGTCTGGGGAAGGTGATTCTTGGTTGAGACTGGAGAGATGACAGGGAATTCACCAGGAGAGATGGAAGAGGTCACCAGAGGGAATGACTGGTCCTGGGATGGAACGGAGCCTCCGGGAGCGGACAGAGGCCCCTGTGGATGGATGCAGTGAGTGACAGGGAGAGAGCAGGCAGAGAGGCTGGAGAGGGGTTGGGTCACAGGGTGCAGGGCTGTGGCAACCACGGTCAAAGGTTTCTCCCAACAACGTTATCATAAGAAGCCACCACCTCTCTTTCTTTTTATTTTCTTTGTTTTTTGTTTTTTTTTTTTGAGTCAGGTCTCACTCCGTTGCTCAGGCTGGAGTGCAGTGGTGCAATCATGGCTCACTACAGCTTCAGCCTCCTGGGTTCAAGCAATCCTCCCACCTCAGCCTCCCATCATGCCCAGCTAATTTTTTGGATTTTTTTTTTTTGGTAGCAATAAGGTCTTGCCATGTTACCCAGGTTGGTCCTGAACTCCTGGCCTTAGCAATCCTCTTGCCTTAGCCTCTCAAAGTGTTGCATGGTGCCAGCCACCATGCCCGGCCAAGCACCTCTTTTTCTAGGAGCCTTCTATCCCATGGCACCATGCCAAGGACTCTAGGGGAACGTGACAGGGAAGACGCACAAAGATGAGCAAGACACAGCCTAGGCTGTCAAGAACCTGCAGACTGGTTAAGAAGTCAGGATGGCCGGCTGTGGCACGGAGGATCAAGACAGGGCGGGCGTTGGCACAAAGGCAGAGCTGCGAGCGGCTCGAGACATGAGAGGGGCTCACGCAAAGGCGGCTTTGCTCCGAGGATGGGGGTTCGCTTCCTGGGAGAGGCTGGGTCTGGGCCAGAAGGGCTGGGGCTGATGGCTGCGACCCAGCAGCACAGGGAGTCTCAACACACGAACCTTCGCGTTGAGGACTCTCAAAGGCCTCGTGTACGTCAGCTCACGTGACAAGCGGCTGTGATTCTGTGTGGCTTCCTGCACAGCGTTCTGTGGTGCGGCGTCTTTATCTCCAGCCCACGGTGTCCAGAAGCAAGCATCAAAGCAGCAGTGACGTGGCTCGTCCGGGGTGGCCGACAGTGTTCGCTGGGTGGGTAGGCTGACTTTGTGGGACATACAGACGGCAGCCTTGCGGACATGCACTTGGGACAGAACTCACGCAGATGCAGGGGTCTTGCTGTGGGTTGGCGTGGGCCACATCCCTGCTGCCTGTTTGGGCCACCAGGGGAGAGGCCTGGCACCATTTGCTTAGAAGGCATTTTCCCTGGAGCCCAAAGAGATCCAGCTGGAGAAATCAGACAATCGGGCAGGCACGTGCCGTCCCCGCCCAGCACTCCAGATAGACGGCGATGGGGCCAGTGGGGCAGTGTCAACGCCATCCATCTTCAGGCTACTGGGGAAACCAAGGCATCTGCCTCTTGCCCGAAGCAGCTCTCACTTGTCTACACCCGGAGCTTGTCACATCTTGGCACTTCCTGGCACATCCCTGAGAGCCACAGAGCCCGCAAAGGAAGGCCTGGCGCCAACTCCCCGGTGGCCTCCTAACACAGGGGAGGCCCCTCAGGCCTCCCTCGACTGCGCATCTCTCTGCTAGTGGACCACACCCTCCCCACGCAGCAGGAGAGAGGGCCTCAGGGGCCCTGCCATCCGCTGGCTGTGCGTGAACACTGACATGGGAGCCAGCAGCGATGCCGTGACCCTTCCAGGGTGCTGTGACCCTGGAACGCCCTGGAGACATGTGAGACCTCGAGGTTTGAGGACACAAGGGCAGAGGCTTGGTCACGGAAGATGGGCGCCTGGGGACAGTCAGAGGGTGCCCCAAGTCAGCCCCCGGGAGCCTCCCCATCTATCCTGCCGAGGCCACATCCTTGGTCCTGGGGACCACTGCAGGGGAAGGCCGCGGGGGTTCACGTCTCCGTGGCCTCCACCCCTTCCATCTCAGCCCCACCCCGCCGGCCTGGGGAAGCCACGATCATGGTCTTGTCTCCACCTCAACCCTCGCCGGGGACTCACAGACGCTTCCAAATAAACACGTTCACCTTCTGCTCCCCACAGTGCAGCCCAGCTGCAGAGTGAGGCGCTATGGAGGGGTGGGGTGCTGGGGGCTTCACAATGCCTGCCTGGGCTCACCAGGGGGTGCGTGCACACACACACACACACACACACATACACTCGCACACACATGCATACACGCCCACATGAGCACACATGCACGCATGCGCACACACACACACATGCACGCGCACACACGTGCCCCTGCTATAGCTGGAACACCTGCTGAGCCCCCATCTCAGCCGAGGAGACGTGCTGATGCCCAGGTCTGGTCTTCTCCTCCGAAGGGAGTCAGGGCAGCCCCTCGGGCGAGCAAGAAGCTGTGTGTAGGTAGGGGCCCAGCTCCAGTCCTTCAGAGTCCCCGGGCCCTGAGAGGAGGGCACACGCCGTCTCCACATGCCTCGGCGGGACACGAGCAGCCGCTTGCTAGATGTGTGACCAGGCAGTGACGGGGCGGGGAGGGCTCTGGTCGTGCAGCCTCCAAGCCTGTCCTGCCGTTGCCTCTCTGTCTCTATAGCGGACTCAGCTCCTTGCCAAGGGCAACAGCCTCACCATCACCACGGGACACTCAGGTCAGAAAGCCGCAGAAGATCAGAGGAGTTGGGGGCTGGGCCAAAGTCACACAGCGGGTAGGGGCCTAGACTCCGGGTTCTGAGCTCCCCCACACCACACATGAGACGTTGCCCTGTGGACACGCTGAATCCCTCCTCCTCGCCTTCTGGGGGCTCTCCCCCAGCCCGCCCCAGGGCTCAGTTGTCCGCACTTTAAGGAAGCCACACAGCGTCCCGGCTTCCCATCCCATCTCTGTGCTCTCAGCCCTGAGTTCATTCCTCAAGGCCTGATTCTGACGGAAGACCTACTAGGCGCCCGTCCAGCCTTCCCCCAGTTCTTTCTCCGCCATTGCCCCAGGCTCCTCCCCGGTAAAGGGCATGACCCTCTGCCCCCTACCAGAGGTGGAAGCAGGGCCCTCCCTCTCGTGGTGAGTCCTGTGGCTGCCACCCCGGCTCTTCCCTGGTGGCCCTTCCACCACCTGCACTACCACCCCGAGGGCCCAGCACTGTGTTGTGAACGGGCTGGCGCCAGGCTCCCCTGCCAAAGCCCGAGCACCTCCGAATGTGCTCTTACTCAGAAACAGGGTCTTTGCGGACACATTAGAAATGAAGTCACCAAGTCAGCCTGGATCTAGTAGGACTGGGTACTCAAAAAGGGGGACTTTGGACACGGAAACGGATAAGCCCAGGAGGAAGAGCGTGTGAAGATGGCCCGCTCTGGGCCAAGGGAAACCCGAGGCAGAGGCCGGGAGGGAGGGTGGCTCAGACCCACTCAGGAAGCACAGGGGGACTGGGCGTGATGTTGGGCTTCTGGCTCCAGAACCGTGAGGCACTGAGCTTCTGTCCTTGAAGCCGCCCATCCTGGACTTTGTCGCGGCAGCCCTGGCACCTCCATGGACTCCATAGGGCCTCTGGCGGCATCCTGCCTTCCCTGACCCTGTCCTCTACCTGGAAGCCTGAGAGGTCTCCGTCGCACGTCACAGGCCTGGCCAGCCCTGCCTGATGGCAGCCTCTGCCTGTTCCTTGCCGGGTTGTGGCCTCAGGCCCTCTCCCCTGACATTCTCCCCGTCATCCCACGGGAACCAGCCTGAATGTCCCTCAAGAACAGGTCTTGCCACCACCCGCCGCAGTCTTGGCCTCTGCGCCGTGCCGGCTGTGTCCGCACTGTGCCTCGGTGTCATTATGGCTTTCTTTGTGCAGCCACTTTCGTGCCATCTCACTCCCGCCGGATGATAGCTCCACGAGGCAGGGAGCAGGCACATAGTGGGTGCTTAATCAGTCTTTTTTTGAGCCGGAGTCTCACTCTGTCACCGCAGCCTCTGCCTCCTGGGCTCAGGCAGTGGTTCCACCTCAGCCTCCCCCAGTAGCTGGGACTACAGCCCGAGGCAGAAGGAGCGCCTGAACCCAGGAGGTCGAGGCTGCGGTGAGCCACATTCACGCCACGGCACTCCAGCCTGGGCGACAGAGGGAGCAATGCCCCGTCTCAGATAGGTAGATAGAGAATTCAGTGTGTAACTAGCTCTCAAGGTCAAATGCACTCAAATGCAGTAATTGTCACATTTCAGCAAGAAAAACACCAGCACTTGGCGCTCAAATAGAGAAAAACAGCCGCACACTGGACTCCCCACATGGGCATTTCACACCCGGGGCTGGGGCCGGGATGTGAGGCTCGGGCCTCCAGCGAGGCCAGCTTTCCAAGCCCAGCGGCGGCGTCCTTGAGCCATAGCTGGGCTGGCTGGTCCCGAGAGCAGGGGGGGTCTTCCGCAGAGACCACAGCCCAGGAGGAGATGGGCGGGCGCAGGGGCAGGTGGCAGACAGGAGCGGGGAGGGCGGTGGGGCGAGGGGCTGGAGGGGCCGGGGGCCAGGAGGCCTCTGTACCTGAGACACGGGAACTCCACGTTGTCGCTCTCCGGCTGCCCCTCCTCTCTCACCAGCACGCGCTCCAGGTACCAGCCGCTGCCCGAGCCCTTGCCGTCGTGCCTGACCCTCACCCGCTTCACCTTCCGCATGGTGACGGACTCGATGGTGAACTCGTCGGCCTTAGGGGGTTGAGGCGAGACTGCAAGGCCCGTCGGGTGGTGGCGACCCCGGGGCCCAAGCAAGGGAAGGCACGGGCCCAGGAGTCAGAGAGCAGAGATGGTGGGTGGAGGCAGGGCGCGGTGGCTCAAGCCTGTCGTCCCAGCGCTTTGGGAGGCGGAGGCTGAAGGATCGCTGGCGCCTAGGAGCTCGAGACCAGCCTGGGCAACACAGCGAGACCGCCTCACTGCAGAAAATGAAGAAAATTAGTTGGGCATGGTGGCACAAGCCAATAGTCCCAGATACTCTGGAGGCAGGAAGATCCCCTGAACACACAAGTTTGAGGCTGTGGTGAGCCATGATCATGCCACTGCACTCCAAGCTGGGCGGCACAGTGAGACCTCACTCGAGAAAATAATAAGGATAAGATACGTAGATTAAAAGAAAGCAGAACCGAGGGGCTGGGCTTGGCCTTTTGCATGTAGGGCGGGACTTCCTGCAGAGAACAGGTTGCACCCACCCCATCTCTCCCACTGGACTCTTGTTCGATGTCACGTTCCCAGCATTGAGAGCTGCATCTCTGGGTTGAACAAGGTCCACTCCCGGTGATGTCCTATTAACAGGCAGCATCAGGCCGTTACCGGCCACTAGCCACTATCACGAACTAACTCCTGGGCCAAGGAGGGACCTGACAAGGGGCCGGGGTTCGCCGACTCCACCGTTTGTCTGACCAGGGGGTGGTCACAGGGGCCCCGCAGGAGGGAGCAGAGAGCCTCTGAGTTGTCACGAGCTCACCTGGGAGCCTCTGGGGATGGAAACGGGGGACCGGCCAACAAAGGCGTCAGCAGATGTGGGAGGACAGCGGGAAAGGCGGGAGAGAGGTGGGCGGGCGGGAAGGAGAGGAGGAAGCTTCAAAGCTCCGAGAAGCCAAGGCGCCGCCACCTCGTCTCCTCAGATGAACCCGCGTCCACCCACAGCATCCTGCACGGAGTATTTTTGCCACCACCGCCTCCAGGTGCCCGTGATCCCGAGAACGAGGCCAGCCTGGCCGGGGCCCAGAGGGAGGCCTGCCCTGGAATTCCAGGGCCTGTCCCAGGCTCACCCGGGAAGGGCGGCAAGGGAAGGAGGCGAGCGACATCCTAAGGCCCCTCCGCCCACGCCCCCTGGAGCCTCTCTCTACTGCAAGGACAATTCTTCCGGCCTCTGCTGTGTGCTGGGTCTGAGCAGAGACAGCACATCCGCGGCCCCAAGCCTCATGAGAGCCAGCCGCGGCAGGCGTCCGTCCTGTCTTAGACGTGGGGAAACTGAGGCTTGGGGAACAGGGTGGTTGGCTGGAGGCTGGCTTTGCCCCGGACCTGCCTGGCACCTTCCCCCTCACTCCCACATCCTCACTGGAAAACCCATGTGGCAGTTGGGGAAACAGGACCGGGAGTCAGCGGTTGGGAACACCCCGCACATCCATAATGAGGCCAACGACAGACCGAGTTCTCCCACCCATGTCTGGGGTCCTCCTTAGCCTCCCTGCCACGAAGGACAGGAGCAAGACGCCCCCACGGCCATGCCTGGCGAGAAGGCCAACTTCCCACAGTGGCCCAGGGCCCTGCTTTCCTCCAGCCTGGTCCCTGGTCCACAGCAGCCAGCCAGAGTTCTCCCCGCTCCACCCATTCCCCAGGCAAAAATGATGTCTCGCTGCATCCCCAAACGCCTGTCTGTTCTGCCCTCTTCTCAGAGCTCAGCGGAGGGGAGGGCACTGGGACCCTCCGGGGTGGCTCTCCAACTCCCAGCTGGATAGTCCCAGCCGCCTAGGAGAGGCGTGCGTGTCAGGGAGTTGGGGTGGACCGGGTGCTCGGGGACCTCACAGGCCACATAGGCTCATGCACCCCGCAGCGGCCCTGCTGGGGGCCCGCACAAACTCCCCACCTGGCCAGGAGGATGCTCTGAGACCCCACGCTAGCCCTCGGCTCTACTCCAACAGAGCAGAGGGGACCAGGGATGATGGGGCGGGGAGGAGGGGCTTGCCATTGGCTGCCAGGGAGCAGAGAGGGGATGGGGGAGGGGGCGCACCATCACCACTTACGTTGCCCCTTTCAAACAAGTCGGTGTTATTCCTGCAGTTGAAGAGCAGCCGCTCGCCCGTGTCCCCCACGTCCCCAAAAAGGCAGAGGTAGACGTTGGCGTCGGTCCCCGCACCCTCGAGCTCCCCTGTGCACACGGTCACACGGTGCCGGGCCACTGGTGGGCAGAGAGGAGGACACTGTCGCTGACCACCCCGGCTCCCCACACCAAGCCCGCCGCTCCCGCCTGCAGACTCTGTCTCCTCTTCCTGCTTCAGTACTCGGGGCTGGCCTTCCTCCCTCCTCCCAGCTGCCCAAACCTCATGGCAGGCGGCCGAGGGCTGGCGCGGCACCCTCCGCTTCCTGGGGAACTTTATTAGATGTCGGAGTCCCGAGCCCCACCACAGACTTCCTAAAGCTTGGTTTCCAGAGTTGGCACTTCTTAGCCCGAGGGCTCATGGGTTCCCGCAGGGGACTCTGATGGAGCCAGCAGGGTGTGGGGACTGCCCGTCCAACCCAGACAGGTTGGCCTTGGATGCCCTCCATCCCAGTACACCCTCTGCACACGTCAGTCTCCAGTCCCCACGTGTTCCCAAGTGAGACAGCCTTTCTTCGTAAACCAGGACCATGTCCCCCTCTCCGCAGCCTTCCCGGGGACGAGGACACGCCTGCGAGAGGAGCGGAGGAGGGACATGGAACACAGCCCTGTGGGAAGGACGGCAGCTTCCTCCCACGTCGAGACTGTGCCCTGGAAGAGGCGGACCCGCGCCTGCACACCCCGGGCTCCTTCCCACTTTGAGTAAGCAGGAACGTGAAAGTCACTCATTCGTTCATGCACGTTCTCATCCCACATCTGTTCACTGATGCCTGGGAGGTACTGGACCCCACGGCAGGACAGGGATTCTGCAGGAGACCCCCCCATGGAGCCTATGGGAGATCTGAGAATGAAAGAGAGTTGGGCGGTGAAGTCATAAACTATGAACGAGGAAACGTCTGAGTTGTGTCTGTGCCTAAGACGGGGCCAGGAGTGATGTCTCAGGGTGGAGCGGGGGGGGGGGATCAGCCAGCAATGCAGGTAAGGTGGTTGCAAGAGGGAGCATTTGGTCATGGAGTGAAGGACAGAGGCCAGCCCCAGGAAGAGCATTCTGGTGCGTGCAAAGGCTCCGCTGCAGAGATGGCTGGAGCAGAGAGACAGCTGCCACCATGAGGGCAAAGGAAGGGGAATGAGGTAAGCTCAGAGGACAGAAGCCAGGGGCAGGGGGTGGGACAGGGCAAAGGGACAAGTGTGGCTTCGTTCTTACGTTTGATTTTGATTTGATTTTTGCACAGTGGGAGGCCATTAGAAAGCTCTAAGTGAGGAAGTGACTTGAACTGATCTGATTGAAAAGGCACGTCAAGGTCAGATGTGGTGGCTCACGCCTGTCATCCCAGCACTTTGGGAGGCCAAGGCAGGAGGAGCACTTAAGCCCAGGAGCTGGAGACCAGCCTGGGAAACATAGCCAGACCTCATCTCTACAAAAAATTTAAAAAATTAGCCATGCATGGTAGTGCATGCCTGTAATCCCAGCTACATGGGAAGCTGAGGCAGGAGGACTGCCTGAGCCCAGGAGGCCAAGGCTGTTGGGAGCCTCAATCGTGCCACTGCAGGGTTGAGCAACAGAGTAAGGCCCTGCCCCCCACCTCCCAAAAAAGGTGGTGCCCTGGCTGCCATGTGGACAGTTGGTTGTTGACAGAGAAGAAAGGAGTCAAATTAAAGAGGCCAGTTAAGGGAGGATCCAGGATGGCCACTGTGGAGCAACAGACCAGCACTGCTCCCACTGATCAAGGCAGAGAGTAGGGACCCAGCCGCTGATGAGGGAGACGCCCGGACTCTTTTAGATGAGTGAAACACCCTGCACCCAGCAAAGGTCTCTCTGAACACAGAGAGACCAGAAAGCGACAGTCAACATGGAAATCTGAGCCCCCCATTCCCTGCCATGTGCCAGCTCGCACAGGAACTGAAGCCCTGCCCAGTGAAGGGGCTTTGAGTTGGTTCACCCCTCCCAGCTGTGCACAAGTCACTGGTCCGTGAGAGGAGTCCTGGTCAGGGCACAGCAGCAGGCAACCAGAGCCCAGAGCCCATGTAGGACAGGGAATAAAACCCACACCCAGTCAGCTGCAGTGAGTGTAGCTCCTGCCACCAGAACCTGGTGGCCGACTCCCAGGGAGGGAAAGCCCACCTGCAGTGTGAACCCACCAATGCTTGCTGCTAGCCGCTGGCAGTCAGCCTCTCGGCCAGACCAGGAAGAATCACCCCCAGGCCCTGCGCACCTACAGGGTGGATTCCCACCCTTCTATGGTAAAGAATTCACTCTCTTTCAAGAGCAGAGTGTGGACTTGAACAGGGTGGGAGCAACATGAAAGACACCTGAAGAAGGCTTTCTCAGTGGGAAGGCTTCTGGCTGCAAACCATAGACAGCAGATGGGGACACCCATTCTCCCACTCACTCTCCACAGAGTGCTAGCGGCAAGGGCTGAAAACTAACCTGGCTAGATTAACAGTGAGGGAGAAAATAAACAAGGGAGAAACCTGCCATAGCATGGAGCCAGGAACAGAAGTGAATGTCCCTTCCTCTCTCACTGAGTGACCTATATTGAACCACAGAAAGGGCCCTAGAACAGAGGGTCATCGATTAGCTTCAGAGCAACACAAATAAAGAATAACTACAGAGAGGGGAGAGAGGCCTGTCAAATGAGGAAAAATCAAAGAAAAAGCATAAGCAACTCTCAGATTTCTAAAGAGACAGTGCCCCCCAAAAGCAGCTATCAGAGCACAAACAATGGAAGCCCCCCAGAATGAGCTGTCTCAGATGACAGTCACAGAAATCAGAGATTAGATGGCTAAAATGAACAGAGAGAGCCAAGATAAACTAGAAGTGAAACTCACCAAAGTCATATAGGAAGTAAAAACAGAGTTGACAAATTTCAGAAAACCCTATTCTGAAATCATGAAGATGAAGAGCTCCATCCTGGAAATCAAAAGCACAGTAACAAGTGTAGGAAGCAGGGTCAATCAAGCAGAAGAAAGAATCTCAGAGCTTGAAGATCAAAATATGAAATTGACTCAATCGCTCAAAAACAGAAAAAAAAACTCAAACAGAAGGAGCAAAGCCTCTAAGAGATGTGGGACTATGTCAAGAAGTCAAACCTACACCTGGCTAGTATCCCTGAAGCAGAAAGGGAAACTAAGAACACCACGGAATAAGCATTCCATGAAGTCATCCAAGAAAACTTCCCACATCTCACTAAAGACCATTCAAGCACAAGAGATTCAGAGAGCTCCTGTAAGATATCACATGAGAAGACTATTCCTAAGACACATAGTAACCTGCCTCTGCAAAGTAAGCATGAAAGAAAAACTCCTAAAGGCAGCAAGAGAAAAAGGCCAGACTATCTACTGGGAAAGACCCATTATAGTTGCTCCAGACATATCTGCAGAAATACTACAAACCAGAAAGGCCTGGGGTCCAATATTTAACATTCTTAAAGATAAGTAATTATTCCTGCTAAGAATTCCCTACCCCACCAAATTAAACTTCATCAGTGATGGAGAATTGAAATCCTTCCCAGACATTCAATCTCTAAGAAAATATGCTGCCTCCAGACCAGCCCTTCAGGAGATATTTAAGAAGGTGATGAATACGGAAGAAAAAAAAAAGACATATCCATCACAAAAGTAAAGGCAAGCACAAAATAAACAGAGCATACAGAGGACTCATAAAATGAAAATACACACATATATAAATACACACATATATAAAAAGGAAAAAGGAAAAAAAGCAACCCCCTAAGAGCCCTGACAGGAATAAATGCTCACAGTTTAATAATTAGTTTGAAAGTGAATGGACTAAATGCACCTATGAAGAAACCTAGAGTGGCAAACTGGATAAAGAACCATGATTCAACAGTCTACTGCCTCCAGGAAACTCATCTCACTGCAAAGAACACACACAGGCTCAAAGTTGGGGGCTGGAAAATGGTCTTTCAGGCAAATGGAAAACAGAAGAGAGCAGGTATAGCTATTCTGATATCAGACAAAGCAGACTCCAAGTCATCAAAAGTTTAAAAGGACACTACATGATGATAAAAGGTTCAATCCACAAGTAAGAAATAGCCATATTAAGCATACATGCACATAACACAGGAGCACCAGGTTTTATAAAACACCTATTAAGTAAACTAAAAGAGGACATTAACTCTCATACATAGCTGGAGACCAACACACCCCCACTAGCAGTTTTAGATAGTTCATCAAGGCAAAAAACCAGCAAGAAGATCTAGAACCTTAACTTGTCTCGTGATCAATTGGGTTTAATAGACATCTACAAAACACTCCACCCAAAATCAACAGAATACACATTCTACTCATCAGTACATGGAACATACTCTGAGACTGATCATACTCTTGAACATAAATCAAGTGAGAACAAATTTCAGAAGATCAAAATAATGCCATGCATCTTCTCAGATCATAGTGGAATAAAAAATAAATATTGTCACCATTAAAATTCCCCCAAAACACACAAAGACATGGACACTAAACAACATACTACTGAATGACTTCTGGGTGAACATGGAAATCAAGACAGAAATAAAAAGATTCCTAGAAACAAACAAAAACAAAGACACATCTTATCAGAACTTCTGGAATGCCATGAAATCAGTGTTAAGAGGACAGCATTGCACTCACACATCAAGAACACAGAAAGGTCACAAATAAACAACCTAACATCACACCTCACAGAGCTGAAAAGGCAAGATGATCTAAATTCTAACTTCTGCAGAAGAATCCTGGTCACCAAGATAAAATCACAATTGTTGGATGTATAAGATCAATAAGACAAAAAGCAGCTTCTTTGAAAAGATAAATAAGATTGATGGGTAACTGACCAGACTGACTAAAAAAAAGATAAAGTCCAAATAAACACAATTAGAAATGTAAAAGGCAAAGTCACAACTGACCCTGAAGAAAATCAAAAGATTACCAGACATTACTAGGAACACCTGTTTGCAACTAAACTAGAAAACCTAAAGGAAATGGAGGAATTTCCGACATCACACAACCCCCCAAGTTGAAGCAAGAAGAAGTTGAAACTCTAAACAGACCAATAACAATCCATGAAATCAACTCATTCATAA